GACTATTTGACAGTATTTTCTACTTTTTCTTTAACATATTGATGGGTAAACAAACCACCCAACAATTTTACATCCACGTGCACAGATCTATGCGCATGCGCTTAAATGAACCGAGTGCACAATCAACAAAAGTCAGAAAAACTGCGCGAATTTGGATCCAACAGCTTCGCTTCAGTGCGAAAGTAAGTTCATTTGACTATGAAAGACGAAATGAACGGAGTCAAGTCAAAACAAACAGCATGAAAACTGATCGAAAGTGGTTCTGCTGATGTTGAAGGGGATCTGCTCGAAGAGAAGACAGAATGACTTTCAATTAACCACTTCATTCGAGCAGTTCAAATGACGTTTACTACCACTCGAACTTTGAAATAAAGCATTATTTTGAGATTCTTTCTTCTAGAACCACGAGAAAAGTAGTCAACATTTGTGTGTTTCATAAAAAAAATAGAAATTAGTTGGTCCAGTTTTGTGAAATCGCTGGTAGTCAAAACTGCTTGACAAAGTGGTCAATTGAAAGTGATGGTTGACAGCTTCGTCGTCGCATGCATGCTTGGCAAACACAATTTTTGTTTGCGAGCTGCTCATTTGCTAATAACTTTGCACACAGTAGACGAAACATAGTTCTTTTTGAAACAGTCAATAGAATAGAGTTTAAGCTTGTTATAGATACGTAAAAAATAGTAGCTTTTAGCTCTAGTAATCAGCTGCATTTGTTTTTGCGTTGTCAACATGAAGTGAGAAATGCTTGCTACACATCTCGTACTTTTAGTTTAAAAATTCAATTGTGTTGATTCAAAAGTTAGGATTTAACTACTCTTTGCATGTCTATAGTAAACTATGATCCTTCTATATCAATTACTTCAAAGAAAACCTCATTTCAACAATTGAGTGAAAAGCTGTTAACAAATGAGCAGCTGGTATGTAAAACTGTGTATGCCAAGCATGGTCGCATGACGGTTTTCGATTGAAAGTGACTTTGTTGGGCCCTGGTAAAGATGTTAAGTTACGGCCAACAATGTCATACTAGTGCCACCTGGTGAGTGTTTGTTTTTTTAGAATAAGGCTTGTCCATCTGAACAACTTTGCTCAAGGCGGCAACCATCCATATGATCCACATGAGATCTTGATTCTTTCCTCCTATCCTTTTTCTTTTATTATTTTTTTATAACATATTAAATTAACTTTACAAGACATTTGAAATTTAAAGGGTTAATGAAGTTCCGATAATTTCAGGAAAATTTTGAAAACTCTTTGTTAGTTCCATGAAGGATAAGACTACCGCTCCAAGAAAAAAAAAATGTTTTGATATTTCAAAAATTATAACAAAATATATTTAAAATCTAAAACCATCTGTATTGTCTCTTTTTTTTTAGATTACATGTAAACACATTTTTTCTAAGCCATCGTAGCAAAAAGTTGGACTCAAAAAATCGCATAAATGAACCATTCGGTTTTGTTTAGTGTCCATCATTTTTCTCATCATGAAAAATATTTTACTTGAAAATTTTTCTCAGAAATCCAAGGAAAAATGAATTTTCTTGGATTTTCTGGATTGGATTAATAATTGTTTTTATCTCATCATGAAAAATGTTTTCATTCTAATAAATACAGGTTGATTTTTGCAGTTTTTTGAGTTCAACTATATGCCATGATGACATAGAAATAATGTTTTTACACGTAAATGTCAATAGAAAAATATAAAAAAAAATGTTTTCTATATATTTTTCCAGTAGAGGAAGGAGAGACAAAGTGAACAGGTGGGGCATATTGAGCTTTTTGTGTTTTAGCCTTGGATTTGTTATGGTTAGAAACAAATAAATTGGTCAATAGTCATTGCAATGGTGATATTGAACTTACTACCAATCGATTTGTTTCGAACAATTAGTGGTTTGGGACTGCAGTGCGGGATGCTGATTAAGCCCCACCTGTTCATTATGCACCTATTACTCCTAGTTTCAGAAAAAGGATAGCTGTGAGAGCTACAAAAACATTCAGAACTACGGGAAAATTTTAAGATCCCTAATATTAGTTTCCAGTGGCGCCGGTGGTGTAGTGGTAAGCGTCACCCCAGCAGGCCTGGGTTCAATCCCAGTCGGCGCCGCCGGGATGTTCTGAGGCATAACATCTCTGATCACGCCTTCCTTCGGAAGGGAAGTAAAGCCGTTGGTCCCCGGTTCATGAGTTGATGGGTCGATAGGTAGAGTCCAGGTGTGGGAGCTGCCTTCCTGGCGTCGGTAGCATTGGTGCTCAGCACGGAAAACAAGATCGACGGAAAACAAACCAAGGAAAAAAAATTAGTTTCCAATGGTATCAAGGCTTTTCCATGAAGTTCAGGAAAATTTCAAGAACTGTTCCATTCAATTCAGGAAAATTGCAGGAACTAATCAGAAGTTTAAAGGATTTCAATGACTTCCATTTAGTTTAATGATTTTTAGGGAAGCTACGTGAACTATGTGGCTGTTCTGAAAACTTCCAAAATGTTTCATGAATAACCAGAAAAATTTGGGAACTTCTGGAATGTTCTGGGGGCTTCAAATATATTTCTAGAATTTAAAAGCAGTTGAAATTAGAAAAATTGCGGGAAATTCCAAGAAGATAAAAATATCAAATATTTTCATAGAACATCAGGGAAGTTAAATGAACTTATTGAAACTTTATGATACTCGTCGTGATGCTAATGATTTTCAGAAAAAAATTATTGATTTCAGGCAGTTCCAGAAACATCCTCAGAAGAATAACGAGAAATTCAGGATAGATTAGAGTACTTCAGAGTGGTGCACATATTGTTTAAGAACGAGGAATGAAAGGAAATACTTGGGATTTCTGGAAAATTTCATTGACAGACAGCGGGATAATAAGGTAAAATGTGAAGACTTCCATAAAATGTTGGGCACTTCAAGGAATCTTTGGAGAATTTCAAGATGGTTTCATCAGCTTCATGGAAACTGCAGGAACTTTTAAGAAGTCCAAAGAAAGTGTGGATACTTTAAAGAAATTCCAAGAACCTCAGACAAGCTAGTTCTTGGGGTCTCCACACAAGCTCAGAGATCTTAAGGATAGACCCAATAACTTCAGGGGGAAGTTTAAAGATCTCGACTTTCCTGGGCATAGAGTATGATTGTACTTGCAACACAATTATACTAATGCAAAAATGGTACAATCACCGAAAGCTCTCAATTAATAACTGTGGAATTGCATCTAGAACACTAAATTAAGCAATAAAGCTTGAAATGTGACGAAGAAGAAGACGAACTTCCGGGTAGCTTCAAGAACATCAGAGAAGATCAGAGAACCTCACTGCAGTTCAATTAACGTAACTAGAAAGTCTGGGAATTTCCAAAAACTTCAATAAAGTTCTCAGATCTTCAGAGAAGTTCTGAGAATTTCAGAGAAATTTTAGATTTTTATACACACAGAGTATTTGAAGGATGATCAGCGATCTTCCCAGCAATTTCTTTAGTTCTATTATATATCTTATATAATAAATCTTATTTGTTAACTGCAGCAGGAGTTTGTGTTTTGTGTAGGAATAGGAATTTGAGCGGGTTCTCTCTGTTTACACTTTTTAGTATGACGCGCTTGACATAGATGGCCCACAGCGACTCAGCTACTGATTCCGATCAATAGCTGTGCGGCTTCTTCCTCCTTCTATGGCTGGTCATGTGGGCTGCAGCTCGCTGCATGCAGGTAGCCTTTCGTTGTGTAGGTACTGGAGAACACCACCACTCACCACGTGGTGATTTAATAAACACCGTTTGGTGAGGCCGGATGGAATTCAACTTTGAAATCTGTGTTAGGGAAATCGCTTTTCGCAGGTAATCAGTGATAATTTTAATTATCAAAGCAACAGTTGCACATTCGTAAAATTTTCAATAGTGACATTTAAAAAAAATTATAAAGTCTGAAATTTAACAGATGTGTAGAAATATATCTGATCGATTGGTGATAAAATTATTGAAATTGGTCCAGGGGCAGCTGAGTTATTAACGTTCAAAATCTTTCATTTTTTGTTACATGTTCCATTTTCGGTTTTCACAAAGTGTACCCCCATATAGAAATCACAGACGTAGTCCTACGTCAAAAAAATCAAAGGCGCCATTTCAAACACTTTACAAGATCCAAAATGGTCGAAATTTAGCAAATATTTCAATCATTTACAAGGGCCTAACAAAATCGGGACGTTACTGTATGACAATTATGAGCACCCTTAAAAGGGGCCCATGGGTTATAATTATTCGGAGCGCACACATCTAGTGAGTAACCAGCTCTACATTTACAGCACTGAACATAATCAAAAGAAGTTTCGTAAATTGCTACAGAACTTATAAATTCACCATCATGCTTGCCCTTGAACTCTCTGAGGTACAGCATTGAGCATCGGTATCCACGTCGAACCAATCCATGCAGTAGGAATCTAGACTGAAATTACTATTTTTGAACATCCCTCGTGTATTCGACATCACCAACCAAGGATGATCTCCGCTCATCACCGCCCCCAAAGTCCCTCCTATTCCGCAATCCCAAAAGCAACCGAAAATTACTTTTATCATCATTTCATCACATCATCTTCGTTCTCATGTGGCTGCTGCTTCTGCTACTACTACATCAGCAAACCTACTCCTTCCTAAAATGTCACTAGGATAACCCTAAACCACCATTCCCAACTCTATGTGGCAACCGGCAGCCTGCCTTTTTGCTTCTGGGTGGTGATGGTGGTAATGCTCGTGGGCGTTTGGGTTTACTCAAGACTTCCGCACTCCTCCCCGTCGTCTGTCTTCATTGCTTTTTCTCCTTCTTTATCGTCTTTGCAATTGAGATCAACCCGATCCCATCCCAAAATGAATCCCATCGTACTGGTGCGCGGTGTGAGCGAGTTTACAACTGTCTGAAAGCTGTCGATTTCCTTTTTTACGAGCTTGCTCGTCTTTTTTTTTACACCATCAATACCATCGTTCTTACTGACTGAATTGTACGTTTTCTTTTTTGCTTCTATCTGGCAGCGTCAAGACCAACCTCACCAACATCGGTGCCAACTCAACGCTGTTCGTGGCCAAAGTGAACAAACAGGATTCGGGGAGCTACACGTGTTCGATTGGACCAAACCAGCACTACAGCGTCTCCGTACACGTTCTAAATGGTAAGTATCATAATAAACGGGAAGGTTAAAATTGTAATCGGTTGGTCCTGATGAGTTTCTTGTTACAGTATTACTTGAATTGAGCACTCTCTAAACTACTACAAAGGACTTACAAACATAAATAATCAACTTCCAAGAACATTCCAGAAGCAATCTACACAGCTTAAATTGCAAGACAAACTAAACTTTATCCTCAGGATCAAAGCTCAAAACGATAAAATAAGCACCGGTATTACAATACCACCTAAACTTGCAAACGGCCAACTGGAAGCCGTACACAACGATTATCTGAACTAGAACAAACCGATGCGCTGTGAAATCGGAACAAATCCTCCTTAGAAATTCAATAGACCGAGTTTCCAACTTTTTTTCCAACGACGACGACGACGACACGACGACAACAATCCGAGAGAAAAAGGCTTACTCTCGAACCGGAGGCAAAACTTTTGTTCAATATCCTCCCCTGCTCCAAGGTACCGATTGCTCACATTGGCATTGCATTCATACATGAACGCCCGACCAACATCTAGGAGACGGAAAATTTTCTATTGAAAAAGTTTCCATCCCACAACACTGCCGCTGTTCCTCCGGCTTCGCTGGTGTTAATCCGATTGTTGTTTTCACTTCCCCCTTCTTCGGGAACGGGATTCAATCGGAACAAGCCAAACTGTCCCTCCCGGTTCCGCGCGTGGCCATTGTTTTAGCTTCGAAGAGGTCCATTAGTCAGCAGTCATTCATTCATTTTCTTTCAATGCTCGGAAGTCACTTAATCACTCGCCGCCTCCGACGGCAGCAGCAGGAGCAGTTTATGTCCGTTTCTGGATTTTCCATAGTCTTCTTCCTTTGTGGTGTGCACTGTTGATGAGAAAGCAAAAGTGTATAATGGACTTCGGCTTTCGGGAAACAAAAGGCATACTTCCGGAAAAATAACCCCATTTATTGTGCTATGCTGACTGCCGCTGTTCCAGGAATGGACCCGAATCTGGGTCGTAATTGAGGGTATTGTCGGCTGATGGCCGGCTTTGGTAGCGTGAGGTAGGGGCTTTCGCTCAGTTAAAGGAAACAAAAAATTAGATGCAAGGGGGTTGGTTGACGGGGTTGGGTTAACTACATAATCTCGCATTGACTTTTCATAAGAATCTAATAATATCTCAGTGCTCATATATGCCTATAAACTGATACAAATATTTTCAAAATTGGTTGGAAATGCTATACTAATATCAACATGAAGCTTTATGGCGATAAGTTATTAGAAACTGAACTCGAAAAAAATGCAAAGATCGGCTCCGACAACACAGACTATGCACGTGTCATGGAACGCAATGGTCTCGGCGAAATGAGCGAAAACCGTGAGCTGTTTGCAGAATTGTGGGGTAATAACGACATGGTGGTCGGGGGTTCGCTCTTCCCTCATCGGCCAGTATACAAAGTCACGCGCCTCTCCCGTGATTGACATACCGAAAATCAGATCGACCACATCTGCATTCACCGAAAATGGAGACGGAGCCTTCTTGATGTCCGGTATAAACGCAGTGCCGACATCGCGTCTGACCATTACCTTCTAATCGGCGAGATCCGCCTACGCATGGCGCTGATCCAGCGACGGGAGGAGAGACTCGGGCGGCGGTTCAACACAAAACTTGAGACTCGAGCAGCAGACGTTCCAGAAGGTGGCAGCGTAGAAGAACAATGGATGGCCATCAAGAATGCCTCTATAGAAACAAGCAAGAACAACCTGGGTGACCTGCGCACCCAGAAAAAAGAGTGGATCACTGATGAAACCTGGCGGAAGATTGAAGAGCGTAGAGAAGCAAAAGCCGCGATAGAGCTGGTGAGAACCAGATGAGCCAAGAACGAAGCCCGTCAACGGTACTCGGCTCTAGAAAAGGAAGTCAAGCGCTCTTGCAGACGGGACAAGCGAGCGTGGGTGAACTCCCTGGCCGACGAAGGGGAGAAATCCGCAAACACTGGCGATATACGCCGTATTTAATATGGAATTTATAGTTTGGGTTCAAATTACGGTCCTCCGAATAATCCGGGTAGACCGATAAAGTAGGTCGTATAATCTAAACTGTTCAGCATATGCCTGCCGCACAATTTGGAACAAAATTTCAATTTAGGTATTGTGATACGTGTAAAATTAAGTCTTATATAGGCCCATCCGGGCCTCTAATAATAAGGTATTCATTCCTTGTCTTATTCGTTACTGTAAATATCAGAATCACACAAACTCGTGCTGTCGTATTCCATGTCGTCGCAATCTTGCTCGTCATTCATTTCCCCTTCATCTTCTACACCGCTATCCATATAATATTGTGCCACTTCCTCCATGTATTTCACATCCTTACTACCAAATGCTACTTTCGAACCTTCATTGTGGTATGTTTGATACGATAGCTTAGGATCGGACCATGCTGATGCCGTTGCCATCATATCTGATAAATTTGCCTTGAGAGACATTTTTCTAGCAAGGTTTGGCCTGCAAAATTTATAGCGCTTGTGCATTCGCTCTTCAGCCACAAAATTAATAGTGTATCGATGAAAAATAATAAATAATTAGTTTGATTGGTATAGCTTAGGTAGTTTACCTTACCAGTTGATCGATATAATCTGCTAAATGTTTGTATTTGTGTAAAGAAGGTGGTAACGCTTTAATGAACGGGAACTCCTCCAAAATACTTTTTTCCAATCGTTCGTACAGCAACTTCACCTTTTCAGCATTCAGCTTCCGTGACGAAAGCACCAAATTGCTGATCAATCTCAAATTTTGCATCATATTCCTACTAACATTTAAGCTATCAGCAAATATGTCAGGCTCTGAAAGCAAACGGCGGGCAAGGTTGCCGTTATTGGAAATACCAATTCCTCCTGGTTTCGGACGGTTAATCTGTACTTTGAAATGTTGTTCAAGGCAGTTTGCAATTCGTTTGGCTTCCAACTTCACTTCCGGTTGAGTGGGGCAGGATGTCCTGGTACTGATTTTTTGGCTCCTGAGCGGATCATTGGCCATCGATCGGGTGGTGCTGTATTCCCCCGAAGAGCACGGAGTGAGGTAGGGGTGGTTTGCGGCTGCTCTGGTTCGGCGGTTTCTTGCCGGTCGTTCTGTTTTATATGCGATTAGTGCTGATCCCTGAACTAATCGCATGCGGGAGTCGGACCGGTTGGGGGGTGGCCGAGTTGAGACGATTGTGCCCACTTTGTTTGCTCGAACCGTGTTCTTCGGGGGAGTACAGTAAGCTGTGCGATGAAATTATGACGCTACTGATTCTGATTGTAACTGCAAATTTCAAAATCTGCTGGGTGCATTTGCCAGTGCCAACATTTTGTGTAATCTTATTGAACGTAGTAAGCTATCCATTGATGGTTGTTATGGCAACTACCGTATGGCAACTAAGGGTATGGATACATTAAAGGTACCAGTGTTACCAGTTTATTTGGTTTTATTCCAAACGTAGACAATCTCGATCACAGCGTAAAAATGTTATTTTAATACGTATTCATCAATTTCCAAAAATAAAATTATTTTTTATAGAGTTAGTTCACAATGCTACACGATATGTGCATTCGAGTGCAGTTCCGAACGCCTTTGGATACGGTTGTGTTTTAAGTTTGTTCCAAATAACCTCGATTTTTGTGACTATTGATTCATTCTTAAAGTTTACCAATATTTTTAAAAGCATTCCATATTGCGTTAAAAAATTCCATGGTGCATAATAAAGTGTTAAATGTACTGAGGTTAACTAAAATCGAGCTTATTCGTATTTTGTAATACTTGTTTATTTCTTATTCATTATATTTTATATCAGTGTTCACTCGGCTGTCGACAAAAGCAGGCCACTCTCGATGTGTGCTACGCGATCGTCTGTTTACTCGGCAGCAACCATTGTGTGGTCCTCCTCATTGTTCTTCATCAGCAGTTCTTTCGGTCGATGCGTCGTCGACTTTGGAAAGCAACCGTTTTGTGATGAGTGTGTGAGTGCTGACCACATTTTGCGTCCATTGCTGCAATGGACGCGCTCTGACCCTCGTTGGCGTACAACAATTTGCCATACAATGAAACTACTGGAAGCGGCTCCAGTTCTGATGGAGGAGGCTTTTTGGATAGCGGAAGATAAAGTGTTTATTGTGTTGTACCTTTTGACTATAGCTTTAAGATGTATTGTATAGTGACCAAGAATCCTCGGCTCTGTTAAGTTAATTCGGTTGAGCCTTATCAAATAAATTAATAAACAAAAAAAATATATTTTATATATTGCATGATTAGTAAATTGTTTTTATTTCACATATTTAAAATCCCATTATATCATTATAACTATAATTTTTATTTACAGAAAATAGTTGTCCTGCAGATCCTGCAAATAGCAAATCATTGTTATTAACATTTTATTTTATGATCTATGGTTTTCAGAATTTGGATTACCCAAAGAATAAATTGAATATCATCATACATTAGGCCAATGTTTTTAAATTGTTTTACCTTTGCAGAATTATTCATGGATACTTGTTTTTATAACTCTTATAAAGGGTGATACGGTCAAAATTTGGTCAATATCAACTTGACGTATTTCTTTCAATTTTGCATTTAAAAAACCTGAACACCCCTCATTTTGAAGGTGTGTGTGTGTAGAATGTTGCTCCTATTTTGATTTTGGAATTCACTCTTCAGTTGTCAAAATGCCGTCCAAGCAACAAGAGCAGCGTATCAAAATTTTGCTCGCGCATTGCGAGCTACTCGCACGCAAAGTTGGCAAAATCGCTAAAAGTTGCCAAATCAACCGTTACAAATGTAATTAAAGTGTTTGGGGAACGTTTGTCGACAGCCAGGAAGTCTGGATCGGGGGGAAATCGAAAACCGGAAGCCGCTGAGACGACAAAGAGAGTTGCCGGTAGTTTCAAGCGAAACCCTAACCTCTCTCTCCGAGATGCCGCAAATAAGCTGGGTGTATCGTCTACAACCGTGCATCGAGCCAAAAAACGAGCCGGACTATCGACTTACAAGA